AGGGATTTACTTTCAAGCAATGCTTCCCAGAAGAAATATCCTTTTGAACTATGTATTGTACTCTTATCACCAAATTGCAAGTCATTTTTCTTAAAGTATTTGGCTTGAACCACTGATTTTTTATGATATATTCCAACTTCTTTTATCCCTTGTTTATCTTAATTCTCACACACTGGGGATTTTGACTCATTCCCAACCATTTGGACTTGCGGTACCTGATGCTACCTTGCTTCCAGTGAACTCAACCTCAGATGTTATAGAACTAATGGACATTGGACTGAGAAACAGAGCAGTTGGCGCCACGGCCATGAACGAAAGAAGTAGTCGGTCACATAGGTTAGTATCTTTTGTTATACTCTCAAATGTTCATCTCTATATTATTCCTCTCTTATCTTTCATGCAAACCTACAGTATTGTGACTATTCACGTTCGTGGGGCGGATTTGAACGGTGGTTCCTCATTGCATGGTAATCTTCATTTGGTAGATCTTGCTGGAAGTGAGCGGGTCGATCGCTCTGAAGTTACAGGAGATAGACTCAAAGAAGCACAACACATAAACAAATCATTATCTGCACTTGGAGATGTCATTTTTGCTCTAGCACAAAAGAGCTCTCATGTTCCATATAGAAATAGCAAGCTCACTCAAGTCCTTCAAAGCTCTCTTGGTATTAACATTAGTTTAATTTGTTCATTTGCATGGATGTGATACTCATTTTCCCAACAAAACTTATAGATAAGTACAAATTTGGATTCTATGCTGCAGGTGGTGAAGCAAAGACGGTCATGTTTATACAACTTAATCCTGATGTGAACTCATATTCTGAATCTTTGAGCACACTAAAGTTTGCGGAGAGAGTTTCAGGAATCGAGCTAGGAGCAGCTCGGAGCAGCAAGGAAGGAAGGGATGTTAGAGAGCTAATGACCCAGGTGAACATGTCTCATCTTGATTTACATTGGAATCATTTACAACAAAATTCAAAACTGTATTCCTGTTAAAGGTGGCATCTCTGAAAGACACTATCAGCAAAAGGGATGATGAGATTGAGAGGCTACAAGTTCTCAAAGACTTCAAGAACAATGTGTACAACAGTAGCAACACCGAGAAGCGCAGCACAACTTCTATGAACAAAGACGTGATCGGCGGAGTGGCAACAACTCAGAAGCCTTCAGGTGGAAAGAGTTCAGGAGGAGCACAGGAGGAGCTGTTTGATGTGCGCTCGGAAGCCGACTCGCAGCATTTGATGGATGATGTGAGGAATCATAATGAAGTTATTCGGCCACTAGACATAGGTCAGAATATTATTGAAGGTGCTGAAACATTAGGATTTCCTGATGCAGATTATGAAGAAAGTCTAATGGACATACCTGATGATGCTCTTTCTGTTGAAACAGAAAATGATGCAACTACAGAAAGACCGAAGCTCACTCAACTCACAAAACCAGTGAAGAAGTTGGAAAAGTAAGTTGTTTCGTCTTTCAAGAACTTAACCATTAAGAGTGATTTAAGAGTGATTATGTGAGATCCCACTTTGGTTGGAGAGGAGAACGAAATATTCTTTATAATGGTGTGGAAACCTCTCCCTAGCAAACTTGTTTGAAAATCGTGAGACTGACAGCGATATGTAACGAGCCAAAGTGGACAATATTTGTTAGCGGTGGGTTTGGGCTGTTACAAATGGTATCAAAGCCAGTCACCAGACGGTATGAGACATTGGTCGGTGTAGGGCTAGACTCTCTCCATAGAAGACTTGTTTTAAAACAGTGAGGTTGACGACGATACATAACGAGCTAAAGCAGACAATATCTGCTAGCGGTGGGCTTGGATTGTTATAATGGTATCAAAGTCAGACATCGGGCGGTGTGCCAGCGAGGACGTTAGGCCCCCAAGAGGGTGGATTATGAGACCCCACATCAGTTGGAGAGGAGAACAAAACATTCTTTATAATGGTGTGGAGACCTCTTCTTAGCAAACGCGTTTTAAAACCGTGAGATTAACAACGATACGTAATGGGCAAAAACGGACAATATCCGTTAGCGATTGACGGACTTAGGCTATTACAGATTCATTTCTTACAAAAGTTTCTTAAGTGTTAGAGAGCTAGAAATGTGAGCCATTTCATTTGACGAAAGTTTTTGCTCACGGTCCGTTTGATAACGATTTTGTCTTTTGTTTATTTCTTGAAAACCCCAACTCCATGTTTTGCAGGGCCAGATCTACCACTACTCATACTAGGATCTCGCAAAAACAGTCACAAACTGCTTCAACTACACCGCCAGGATCCAAGGAGCATTCAAGGTCATACTCAGCACCAAGTATGTAAAAGTTCAATATTTCTATTACTTTCCATCAAGTTATTAGCCCTTCTTCTTTTTGTTTAGCAAATGAAAATAAGCTTCCTCTTAGTTTAGAGGAAAGAATAGTTTCATTATTTTCATTCTACTTTTTCTCATAGCTGTGAAATAAATGACATAAAATGATAGTAGCTTTCTCCATGATCCTTCATGTTCTTCTTTTCGTTTACTTGAATATTCTTCTAAAATCAAAATGATTATCAAACAAGGTCTCGAAATAAGTATCGAGTTTCAAAGAACATTTTAAATGATTAACGAAGAATAAGAACGAGAAGAAATAGATTCTTATGCTAATTTAGAGGTTCTTTGTTTCTGGGCATGATGTAATTCTTATTTATCTATCCTTAAACTTAATTAACATCAATTAAGCTGATGCTTTGTTACAGGTCTTAAATCTCTAACGGGACACAAATCTGGTAAAAGATGGCAATAATTTTACAGAGAACTTTTTTTTTCTTTTTCTTCTTTTCTTTATGTGTTTTCACAAGTTTTTTTTTCTCCCAATTCTTATTGAAACAAATATAGGTTAGGAAATTAATTACCATAAAGTTTGGTACATAAAAGGCCTCTTTGTATAGTTCTTGGGATGACTGAAGTGTATAATTGTAAATTTTAAAGAGAAATAGTGTCCTTGGTTCGGGTTGTACGCTCAAGTTCGAGACAATGTGTTTAGAAGATTGCTCGGACTAGCATATCTAAGCTAGTCTACAAAATGTTTATGATTTAGGACTTTAATACGAATCGAATGTGTGAGTACTTATTGAATATGTGATGCTCAAAGAAATGAGAGACATATGAATGAACCAAGTCATTATCAATATATAAACAAGTTGATATTTTTCTTTTTTATCATATTTTAAGTAATCCAAGTGATTATTAAAAACCTAATTTCTCCAACCATTAAGACACGTGTTCATGCATTTTGCCACGTGTTGTGTTCTAATTGGTAAGTTGAAATTATCTCCGCCTAATGTCTAAATATCCAAGTCTATAACTTTTAACTATACATTTGTCGTCTTCCCGTTTACTTTTTATCTCCCAAAAAATATATATTTTATTATAAAGTCTAAGCCACGTGTACCGTATGCTTCACAGAACCATGCTAAAATTGTAAGACACCGTACACGTGGCGCTTAGAGATAATCTGACATCAGCCCTTGGAACCTTCCTTCTGAGTCCATGTCCTATCATTAGCTGCCACGTATTTTATTATAAACTTAATTGTTTTTCTTTGACACGTGTTGAGCTATAAATGGTTTATTGGCACTAGCTTAATATTGGTGGGCTCCACTTTATCGGGAGATTTGCTATATTAAGAAAAAAATATATCTGATTTAGTCGAAATATATTATTATTTTTTTTTAAAAAAAACTTTGGTCCTAATATTTTTTATTTTATACTAAATTTATCAAAGTTATTAAATCATATCTGACCATTCTCGAATGACATTATTTATTATTATTTTTAATTCACATATAAGATTTAAAAATCTTTCTCGTAGTTTATAATGTGTATGTCCGACGCAATAACGTACGACATACATGATATCGAAAGGATGCAACAAGATTTTAATTCACAGATGAGGTGTATGTTCAATTCAGTGGAGCTATGCTAGATTGACCTAGTTTATAAGGTATGAAATAATCTTTATGACACTCAACCGACCCCACACGATTTGCCCAAAACCTCAAGAACATCTACCTTTTTCTCTAGAAAGAGAAGTCCTTATTTACTCGACCGGATAGCTAAGATGAAGTAGGTTTTTTTTATGATTAGAAAATGTTGCACTGATATCTAAATAATTTTAATTTTTACGCAGAATCATCATTATTTTATATTCAATTTCATTATTGAGTCGATAACTTTGATGATAAAATGGGCGATGTTAATGTAATGATTTTGAACGACGCCCTTTATCTTTCACATAATTAAAATACATACCAAATGAAAAAAAAAGTTAAATACTTTAAAATTAGTTCACATTTAAATTACTGGTAAGTTTATGTAAGACAAAAATGTAAATAGAGTAACATTTGTTGATTTTTTTAATTTAAAAATTGTAGCTAGCCAACTCGGACAATATAATGCGAAAATATTAAAATATCATGATAATTAAATAAACATATACGGGCGACTAACAATTAAATTATTACATATTAAAGTTTAAGAATAAGTTTGAAATCTCACCCGTAATACCTAGTTTTAACGAGTAGGACTTCTGAAGCTAGCACCACGATACAGTGTTTTTTTAAAAAAAAAAAATGGTTTCTACGAGTACGTACGAGAAATAGCTTAAAAAAATAAATTGTAAAATAAATAAAAAAACAAGACTAATATCGATAGGAGCATTATTGGTAATTGCTAAAGTGCTTTCTTCGGTATTAATCTAGCACTCACCTCCAGGATTAGGGTCAGTGGGGTCATTTGGAAAAGTCGGGCCAATCCAAGGTAAAAAATATAATCTTTTAAATAAAAAAATTGTCCCATCAAAATCCCAATCCTAATCTTAATTTAATTAATCAACAAAATATTTATAAATTTATAATATAATTTTTTATTTAATATAATATATATTTATTTATTTTTCATTGGAAATGTCTTCCACGTATACATTTTGTGGCTGATAATTTCGCAGTTTTTTAATTATGAATTTCCAAAATTTATATTAAAAAAAAGAAGCTTTTCCTGTCTTTCCCGTTTCTTCTACACTCCCAAAATCAACCAAACTTCCCATTACTCATAGAAACTCTCTGCGTTTCTTCGAATTCCGCCATGTTCAACGATCAGGCACCAGCGGTAACTTCCAGAGCCAGCCATGGCGGAGACGACGATGATCAAATCCGTGATATTCATGCTCTGACCTCGCCGCAACCACCGCCGGTGACGGCTAATCGGAACCGCCGCGGTGAGGCCTGGGAAACGACGAGTCAGAGATCGACTTCAATGGCCAGCGAAGGCGGCTCTAGTGAGAATTTCACCTCCATGAGTCGAGAGTTTAATGCTCTCGTTATTGCCGGCGCGGAGATAGGCGATGATTATCGCCGTGATCGACCGATTAACGAAGCTCCAAATAACTTGAGCCGAATCAGAGAGGAAGAGTATACGCCAGAGGAGGAGATGAATCCGTTAGCGATCGTACCAGACGGACATCCGTTCGATGATCACTTAGCGCCGTTGGCGATCTCGAGACAAGAGAACAGGAGAGGCGGTAGCGGTACGGCAGCGACTAGAGAGATTTCGTTGCATATGGTGAAGAAGGAGGAAGTGGAGACGAAGATAAGTGCATGGCAAAACGCGAAGATTGCGAAGATTAACAATCGGTTCAAGAGAGAAGATGCGGTGATCAGTGGATGGGAGAGGGAGCAGGTTCAGAAGGCGTCTTCATGGATGAAGAAGATCGAGGTACGTGAATTGAAAATGGTGCTTTCTCTGTGCATGTAACCTGTTTGAAGAAATGCCTCGTATCGTGTTTGTGAATATTACTTCTCCTGTTTGGTCAAAAAGTCGATTTATAACGCTTATTTGCATTAAACATGTCAAAGCTTCTTAAATCTCAATCACTTTTGAACCAAACTTTCCTATTTGTTTCATTCTCGTTTTTTGAACTTTTGAATATCTGAGAAAAAACAATTCTAATTTCTTCTTTCTGTTAATCATTCCATATAAATTTAGATTCATTTTGAAACTTCACACATGAACAAGCTGAATTTATGCAGAGATCATTCCATTGTGGTGAGTAAAAAAACAGAAAAGAAATCAGCATCTTTGTGTATAACATGGATTGGATTGAAGTGAAAGTTTGAATTTGTGCAGAGAAAATTGGAAGAGAAGAGAGCAAAAGCATTAGAAAAAATGGAGAATGAAGTAGCAAAAGCACACAGAAAAGCAGAGGAAAGAAGAGCATCAGCAGAGGCGAAGAGGGGAACAAAAGTGGCCAAACTCATTGAGATATCAAACTTGATGAGAGCAGTCGGAAGGCCACCAGCCAAGCGCTCCTTCTTCTAAATTCCTCTCCTTCCATTCTCATAATCCCAATGCTTTTGCAATTGATTAAGGACATGGACAAAGCCCATCTCCTTACAACAGCCATTTCTTACACCAAAACCAACTTGAAACAGCCTACCAAAAGTAAAGAACAGAAGCAATGGCAGAGGTGGTCAATATTTCATCAAATATAAGGCAAAAAGGAGCCTGGTTCGCCATTGTGGACGGTATACAATTTTGTATCTTGTTCTTTCTTATGTACAAATGATACGAACTATTGTAGATGGTAGCTTCGATGCTTAAACAATTTAGTATTGACTAGAAGGTATATGAAAGCTTATGAATTCAAAGTGATATGGCTTAAGTAGTGATTGTCATGGCTGCTTATTTTGCGCCATGAAGCGCTCTCGGTAACAGATATCTACCAATGTTCAAGTGAGTGACTTCAACCCGTTCAACCCGTTCATCTTCTTGAAGGGCTAGTATGTTAAGGTCATATCTAATAGACCATGTTAAAGATATTTAGTACTAAATATATATCCTATTTAGTTAAGGCAAATATCTAGATATTTGCTTTCTTAGCATATGTATCTTTTTATATATATTGTTCTTTTAGTATCTTTCTATATATATTCTTTCCATTTATTACCCTCTCCATTATAAATAGATAACTTTCACATCATTTAAATGGGTGGATTAACAAACATTCTCATGGTATCAGAGCTCTTTCGGTTTTACAACTAGATCCTTTCTTTTCAATAGCTTTTGAATCCTCTATTATTCTTCCCCACCCCCACGGGTGACTTTGACACTACAGGAGCAATCTCCATGGCTGCCACATGCGCAGTCGATTGATTACTCTTCAACTTCACCCTTATCACCATTCGCCATACTCTACACATACAACCTCACATTTTCCAACACAATCGATTTTTCCTCAACCAACATGTTCACGGTACAGGTGAGGACAAGGAAGCTTTCTCCACTACCGACTTTCTTACCGAGGCTGATTAAATGGACATGTTCACAGGGCAGGTGGGGACAATGAAGCCTTCTCCATTATGGGGCAAATTAAATGGTCATGTTCATAGGGCAGTTGGGGACAAGGAAGCCCTCTCCATCCCCGAATTTCCTACCTGGGGCAGATTAAATGGACACGTTCACGGGGCAGATGGAGACAAGGAAGCCTTCTCCCTAATCAAATTTTCTACCCGGGGCAGATTAAATAGACATGTTCATGGGTAATAGTTCTCCCTCTTCTTACTCCCTCGAGTTGAAACTACATGTCGACCTTGGACTTTATATGGATATTTTAACCATAGGTACTACCAAAATTGAACTCTTGATGTCCATATTTTATCCTTGATTGGACTATATATTTAAACCCCGCAAAAACCCTCGGCAACGGCCATTAGCTATGGCGGTTTATTCCTCTCTCTCGCCTTCTCCTTCGCTCTCATTTCCTTATCCCTTCGCCTTCTCCCCAAAGCGTCACTCGGTCGCACAAACCAATGTGATGCTTCGGAGCTTCTCTGCTGTAAGACAGAGACCAGTGCGTGCGAAAGCTTTCTCCGTCAACGCGACATGGGAAGGCCTCGACTCCGTCAACATCGCCGATAACGTAACCCAGGTTCTTGAATGCTCTGTCTCTCTCGTTTATTTTGTTAGTCGGATTACGACAAGTATGGCGTAGCTTTTAACTGGTTGCTCGTCGGGAAGGGATAGTGACGAGGATTTTTAGGGCCTGTTATCGCTAGATTGAAGGTTGAATAGGAAATTACAAAATGGAAACGAGCTATGTACTATTTTTTATATTTTACTTTTGCATCGACGAGTACAATTTCACATCGATTATATAATTGTTTCCTTCTATTTAACAATTTCCTGGTTTTCTGCTATTGCTTTCTGTGTATGTGGTGTAAATTATCCGCTCAAGAGTATAATCCCTTAGAAGTAGGGTTTTTCAGTTGAGAATGTAGTGAAAAATCTATAATAATATTTCAAACAGGAAAAATAAAAGTAATGCAGATTTTGAACTCCTTGGAATATGTTGTGCAAATTCTTGAGCAACGTTGTTGGATGTTCTGTTCCCTCAACGAGTGTCGCATGGTCATGGTTTATACACTCAAGTTTTCCATCAGTTGAAAGTATTGCAATTCATTTTTTAAATTCGTAACTGGACTCAACCAACCAATTTTAATCGTGAATATTTACTATCATCGATTTATACTAAAAATTTGAATAAGTGATAAAATTAATATCACATTGATTTTAAATTGGAAAGTTACCCACGTACTAACTAATCAACAAAACATTCGAAGTCAAAAAAAATTGAGAGGAGTAAATTAATTTTTCCCAAAAAATGTGAAGACTATGGTAAAAAATTGGGAAAAACAAGCATAAATTTCAAATATCGAAGACTAAAAATAAAATTGTTGTCTATGAGCTTGAGAAATTAATTTGATCATTTATTCAAGTTTAAGCTTCAATTTTATATAATTAAAAAATTAAGGTCAAATTTGACTCACTAAGATGACTATTGGATTACAAAAGAAAGAAAGTTTCCTTTCAAATAATTACTGATTTGAGTGGTTCTGTTGAATTTATTTAGTTGATTGGAAGAACGCCCATGATATATCTCAACAAAGTAACAGAAGGCTGCGTGGCAAATGTTGCTGCAAAACTTGAATCAATGGAACCATGCCGAAGTGTCAAAGACAGGTAAGCTTCTACTTGGTGAAGATGGGTTGTTTATTCCACCACTGTATTCTACTGTTAGAATCCTTGCGTATGACAGCACATTTCTGTAGAATCCTGTGTTGGTTGGCAGCTATGTTCCGAGTGGTATGTAGGAAGATTATTAATGAAATATCAGACAGCTATTGTAGCTTATCTGCCCTTCAAGAAAACTTAATTGGGATTCAAGGTATTCGAAAAGTCTCTAAAATGAGAGTTTAAAGCTTCTATTTATTGAGGACTAATCAACAAACTGCGAGTGAATTACAAATAAAATATCAGATTTGAAGAAAATTACAAAACTTGGACTATTTTTTGTAGGGCATATTGTACTTGTGAGTGGTATAGGCCGTCTCGGTTTAACTTTCTACTTTCAGCCTAATTTTTTATAGGTTTACACTCAAGTCAACCTTATACTAACGTTTTTCAAAGTTAATTAGAGTTTGGACTTTGACTACATCAGCAACCTTTAAAATGTGCTGGAGATGTACTACAGATTTAGAGATTATACTATGTATCGTTTTCAGCATATTTCTTTTCATCTCAGTGCAAGGAGTGAGAGGAGATATATACATGTACATACATAACTGATCGGTTTATGTCTTTAACCTATTGACTTCTCAGGATTGGTCTCAGTATGATATCCAGTGCCGAGGAGAGTGGTGCAATTTCTCCAGGTAAGGTAAGTAAGTTGTAATTGGGAAAAAGTATTGATGTTTATTATTAAGGAGCAAATATATTCAGTTGGAGGCATATCTTATTTCTGCCATTAAGTATGTGACCCCTGGGATTTTGAGATGTTTTTTTATCCAACCATCTTTAATACTAATTCATTTCTCTATGAGGTATTTGTTTTGTTTCTAAAAATAAAATACATGACCTTGATGTTTCATTCTTGTAATGAGTAGACCATATTAGTTGAACCAACAACGGGGAATACGGGGCTTGGCATAGCTTTTGTTGCTGCAACAAAAGGGTACAAACTTGTAGTTACCATGCCTGCTTCCATAAATATGGAAAGGAGGATCCTACTACGTGCTTTTGGTGCAGAGATTGTTTTGACAGACCCAGAGAAAGGCCTCCAAGGGGCTGTAGCCAAAGCTGAAGAAATTCTAATTAGTACTCCCAATGCCTTCATGCTTCAGCAGTTTGATAACATTTCAAACACGAAGGTTATTTCTATTTTTGCTTTATTAAGTTGTGAACACATGCTCTATGCAACCTAAATGGCGCTGTATTCCTTAAGTTTTATGCAATCTTCATTATCTTCACCTTTTTATATAATTGCATTTTAAGTGATGACAATGATATAATGTTAAAGCCTGTTATTAAGTTTTACTTCATGAATTGCAGGTCCACTTTGAAACCACAGGACCTGAGATATGGGAGGATACCATGGGTAGTGTTGACATACTTGTTGCTGGAATTGGAACTGGTGGCACCATAACAGGCACTGGTCGTTACCTAAATATGAGAAAAGAAACGATTCAGGTTTGGGCTATCAGAATTATTTTTTACATGGTAAATTCTTTATTGAAAAAAATGGCAAAAGACTAGGATACATGGAGTAATGCCTTGAATGAAGAAGGGAAAAAATGGATGAGCAAAGTGGCCAACTAGCTTTATAACAAATTCCTCAAAAAATTTACGAGTTCCCATGAAAGTTGGACGGAGAACGGATTGTTATGTGCAATACTGCCAATATATAAATGTCAATCCATATTATACAAAGTTATCATCCGAAAGTAGTATTATATATTATTAGCTCATCAAATGTTTTATTAGTTTAAGGAACACAAATGTTTGTGTCACCTAGTTTTCATGCGTTAAATTATTTGATTTATACCCTATTAGTATTTATATGAGAAAAAGTGTAAAGAGAAAAGTAAATGATACTTGGATGGAAAAAGAGACAACTTCGTACTTTTAATTTTCCAAGTTTCCGTGAATTCCAGTTTTTACAAAAGGCTAGATTGCGAGAGCAGCCTGGAGAGAGCTTTAGTTGAAAAAGCACTCGAAGCATCAATCTTCCAATCTCTCGAATCTTCAATATTATTCACTTAATAGATTCCAATCCAGCCAACAAGGAGCTGAATTAATAGTTTACCTCTCGAATCTTCAAGTTTTTAGTATATTAGTCATTTATTATGTTCTGGCTTGCTGCTTCCTTTAGATGTTGTTTAATGTTCTGACTAAGTGTTTTATTAACTTAGATAGTTGGTGTGGAACCTGCAGAAAGAAGTGTAATCTCTGGAGAAAATGCCGGTGAGTTGGTATTATTATTATTTTTTTAATCTTCTATATACTTGGAACGATGATCCCTAGTTTTTGGTTCAAGTAAAGTTTATTGTTGATCTCTCAGGCATTAACATTATTGAAGATTGGCGCAGGTTATGTACCCCCTATTCTGGATGTCAAGTTGCTTGATGAAGTGATCAAGGTAATTACTTCCTTTTGAAGGCAGGGGTAATATGCCAATAGTGGAATATACATTTTATGTTTATAATTTTTTTTCCTTTTAGTTTAATATGGAATTGAACATTTAAGATGACACACATATCAATTATATTCCATGTGGTAGAATTCCCTCATCCTTCCTTTTTTTTTTCTTTTGAGCATTGATATAGTCTGGTATTACATTTCTTTGTTGTGGCTCATTGTAGTTAGCCCATGGTTTTTATATAGCATTATTTGTAAATATATATAATGTTATTTGGTTTAGATTTTGAAATATTTTGAAACTTTGTTTACACCTGCAATATTATAACTTGCAATTTATTTATATGGCCACAACCAATCATCAACAGCTCGTAAATAACTTGCTAATGAGATAATTGTAGGTAACCAATGTTGAAGCTATAGAAATGGCCAGGAGGTTAGCATTGGAGGAAGGTCTACTGGTAATTATTTATGTTCTTAAGTGTTACTTTGGTTGGAAAATTTCCATGCATGTTCTACTTCTATCTATTCCACCATAAAAAACTTGTTTGAAATGTTTTAATGTCCTTAGGATAATCCTTCATATTTCCCTTGAGATACGGTGGTTTCTCCTCTTCGACAGTTTTCCTTAAGATTTGATAGTTTCTTCTCCCTCGAGTAAGAACGTTGTTTTAGACTTTTAGTAATTAAAATATTTTCACCTCTTGGTAGGTTGGCATTTCATCAGGAGCTGCTGCGGTAGCAGCGATAAGTCTGGCTAGGAGGCCTGAAAATGCTGGAAACCTTATTGTGGTATGTTCATTCCATTTTCTCCATTTGACAAGTCATGTGCTGGGTCTACTCCCTATTCCAAAACATACACAAAAGTCTTCTGGTAGGCAGGGACAAAACAAGTCTATTTCTTTACAATATTCCAAAATTTATCATGACCCTATCTATTCATCTTTTTATTTAAAAAAAGGTAAGACATCTCTCTGAGACCGGGAGAACAAATAGCCGTGAGGAAGAGGGGGTGAGGGGGCTACTTTGTCTAGTGTTTCTCCATTCAAAAATCATGTAATTTTGTAGAAAACTTATTATCATCTTTTCTATGCCGTTTCTCTTTCTTTTTCACACTTATTCTACAACAAACATTCTGTTCTTGTCCATGATCAAGTTCACTACTTTCAATTTTCTAGCTTCTCAGTCTTTGCACACTCCTTTTAGTGAATGGTTTTAAGTTCTATCCAAAGGTTTTTGGCTTGTTTCTTGTATTTAGTAGCTAGTTGTCTTTTCCATGTATGCCGCTTCAACTTGTTGGTAGTATTGTGTTTCCATTTTTGTAGTGGGGCAATTGTTTCAAATTTATATTATCGACTCCTAGAAACATGATCTGAAAGAAAAGAAAAGACCATGTAATGTTACCCTCCAAAAGGGCAAGAAAACTGAATATCTTTGATAAAAAATCTTAATTCTACTTCTAATGATTGTATTCATGCTTGTAGGTTATATTTCCAAGCTATGGTGAAAGATACATATCCTCGGTGCTTTTTCGTTCTATTTATGAAGAATTTCAGAGAATGTAGACGAGATAGGAGTTTTCCAAGTTGGTTTTACTTTGAAGACGATTCATTCATAAATCAACAACGATAATGTAGCTTCCTGATGCTTTTCACTGCAAACTATATGATTTCAATGTGTGTACCTACTGAAACTTCTCTCTTTTCTGTTTTGCAGGTACAACAATTTATCAAGGCACAAGAATCAGAAAGTCGAGCGTAATTGCATCTATATTAGGTAAACAACTGTTATTCCAAAAGATTGAGGAGTAAGAAAGGGGCAGAATATGGGCTTAAAATGGAAAGAGAAATGGGGTAATATGAACTAGAATAGAAGACAACAACAATCCATAGCTCAAAAAGTACTAAAAGAAGTGTACGCCCAAGGCTAGGCACTTTTTTAACTATCGAGCTATTTTGTAGGTTCTCGCTCATAACATCACTAACTATTTTTATATATCCCAAGAAAGTTTCAATTATTCTTTACTGAATATGTTATGCATGTCTCCCATAGGTCAAGTATCATTTGCTAATGAATCTCTCCCCACGCTCCTCCCTGACCTTGTTAGAAGTTCTATAGCTATTACCTAAATTTCCTCGGGGTCTTTTAAGGATAGCATAGCAATTTCATATTCTTTAATAAAGTACAATAGCTTTCAGCCGTGTGAAAATGAGTTTCAAATAGATAGTAGTTTCAAGCTGCATTGCATTGGACATACTTCCTAAGGAGTTGTATTCAAGTTTATTTGCACTTCTTTTACATTCTTTTTCATGCTTGAGTTTGCTGTTCTTGGGCGATTCAAGTTCCTAACTTCTCAACTCTTACATTTGCAGTCTTCATCTAAATTTAGTTAAGGTATGCAGTTCTATTTATAATCTTCTCTCCATTTTCTTAAATTTTATTTCTTTCATTTTTTCTTTTGAAATTTGTTCCCTTTGGAATACAAGATGAATGACTTTTCAAACTGGAACAAATGAAAAGAACCAAGCGAGATTCCAATTCTAGCTTCTAATTTTTGGGCATTCAATATTCTTTTCTTTTACTTCCATTTTGATTCTTACCTTTGCTATTGAAATGTCTATTTTAATTTTTATAGAATCATACTCTTAAAGACATTAATTAATGCCAGTTAACTACAAAATTGACGAATTTAGATTACATCATGTGATTTTCATCCAGGCTAAAGATCGGTGGAAAATTAACAGATTATGATTTGAATCATACAAAATACCATTCATAATGGTTACTTTATCGACCCATCAATCTTTAAGATTGTAATTTTTATGTATTTTTATATTCATTTTAGGCTGATGCAAGGAAAACTTTGGTTTGCTTGTGAGGTAAGTAGCCCTTATATTGAGCCTCAATTGTTGTTAAATGATTATATTCAATTTTTTCTTGTATGATTTTCATATCTACGTTACCATACATTATTCTACCAATCGGTATTTATTCAACCATATTAGGTTTTTGAATTAAATATAAATTTGCTAGAATTTGTCGACAATATAATTGTCAATTTGAGTATAAACCCCAATAACTATTCTAAATATCGATAGTTTGATCTCTAGCTCTTGCCATTATTGAGTTCAAACATGTTTAATACTCTAGTAGTCTTAGCTATTGACTATTCCCTAATGACTACATTTTATAAGGTTAATTTGTACTAACTTTCTAGGATTGGATTATTAGGAGTTTTAAGATCGAAATGGACATATAGTATTTTTAAAATAGAGGATCAAATCTTCATATTCCTCTTCATGTAAGAAAAAAATCTCTAGTAATCTATTGTCGATGAGCCGTATTGATGATGACTAGGTGGGAAGGATTTACTTTAACATAGTATTAATTAAGATTTAGATGTAATTTTGTAGTAATTAGTGAGTAGGTAGAGTTAAAACGATTAATGAACAATTTTTAAAATTATTCTTGAGGTGTTTTACCTAGTTTTCTTTCATTTAGTTCTTAGTTCATCTTTTTATTGCTACAATTTCATTTTGATAGGATAAATAAGGTTTCGTTTGATAACTATTTAATTTTTAACTTTTTTATAATTGTTCTTATTTTCTCACAATTTCTCAATTATGATCGTCATCGTTCTTATGTTTAGAGACATAACAGACACAAATCTCAGGAACTTAATCGAATTTGTGTTACTTTACTTTCGAGAGTTGATTGGTTATCTCTCTTATAAATAGTTTGTCTATTCCTTTTCTTCGAGCTTTGTCTCATTTCAACACAAACTAAATATTTCACAGGTTCTAAATGTTTATAATATCAATAGTAATTCTTGAACTCGTATACATTGTGTCATCTGTATCGATCCATAGGCCTCTAATTGATTGATTGAATGTTAAGGTGTGGCATGGAGGGCACAAGAGGAGGTGTGAATAAAGGCATAGTATGGACCATTATATTTAGGCAAAGCAATAGTTAATGGTTTTTTGCTTAGCAGTGGAAGTTCATTTATGTTTACACCTCATTTTTAGTTGAGAAAATTGAATGGCATGATGTTTACACATACATTACATTAACTTCTTCAAAAAAAACAATTCATTCATTGTGAAAGCACCCACCATTTCATCAATATTACAATTAATAAATGTCCCTCCTTTTATATTTATATATTTTTCAATTTATTATTAAAAAAAAACTATTTTTTAATTTTTTTCAGCTATCTCGTGCATTTTTATGCCTCCCATGTTGTTTTTGGTTATGTAACTGTCATGTTGTCTTGAGTTATGTAACGATGCATGACTTATCAATTTATTGAGCATTTTATGTCGGTACGATTATATTAATATTAATACTCTATTAAAATTTTGCACGAAAAGTAATATTAAGATAGGTGACCATTCGAATTTATTTATTTGTTTATATATCTTATTCTTAAATATTAATTATCCTATTAAATTGGAATAAAAAATTGACATGACATCACCCAAAATTTAATATGACACATCCTTTCACTTAATTTTACTTCAAATTTTTAGTTCAAATTAATTGAATTTTTACAGCCCAAAAACTAAAGAATATATATATATATTAAAATTTTTAGTTCAAATTAATTGAATTTTTACTGCCCAAAAATTAAAGAATATATATATATATAACAATCTAAATGTCAAATTTAAGCATAATTAATAATATATTATATTTTTCATTAAACTATTGAATGTTGGAATTTTTATTTTATAGATTGTTGAATTAAAAATATAAATAATAATTTAAAACTATTAATATATATATATATATATATATATATATATATATATATATATATATATATAAATGAAATAATTAATTTTTAAAATTTTAATTTAATATTTGATGGCTAAGGCCATTAAAAATAAAGTGAAATTTATTGTCACACGGAAAGAGATAAAGGGTAATTAATTTCTTGTTCTTTGGATTATTACAATTGAAAACAAACAAAAATAAAAACTACAATTTTTTTTTTTTTTTTGTTAGAACACCGGCGGCAACTCCATCATCTCCTCCACTTGCCCGGTGGCGCCTTCTTCAAACAGCCACTTCTCAAGAAACGACAGTGGCGGCGCCGTCGCAGCTACGGCCGTAGCGCCGACGTTTTCAAATCTTTGCTCCTCTCCAACATGTTCCTCTTTATCCTCACAAGAACTCACTTTCTTCCAATTCTCAAACGACAAAATCGAATCAAATTCTTCACCGGAAACCAGCTCGCCGCCGTTCAATTCCTCCTTCAGCTGCTGCTGCACGGCAGTGCCAGAATTCTCCCCGCCGATTCCCTGGCGAGATTCCTCCGGTGAAGATCTCATCCAACCTTGAAGAAGCCGCGAAATGTTCTGGGCGCTCGAGGCGTAGGTGGTTGCTCTGTTTCCAGCGAGCTGCGATGGCAAGCACTGGGAGTGAAAATGACTGGCGGCGGACTCGGACGGCTCCGGCGAGTCAACGGCGGCGGACTGTAATCTTTTAAGCTTCTTTTTCAAATGGGTATTCCAATAATTCTTTATATTGTTATCCGTCCTCTGAGGAAGATATGAAGCTATGGCCGCCCATCTGAGAATTTCAAAGCCCAAATTTCCATTAAATGATCGAAACAGCAAATCAAAAGAAGAAAAAACAATAAGAAGATCATTACTTGTTACCCAATAAAGCTTGAAGATGAATGATCATTCCTTCCTCATGGGGAGTGAAATTTCCTCTGTTTATTCCCGGCCGGAGATAATTGGTCCACCGGAGCCTGCAACTCTTGCTGCATCGCAACAATCCTAAGAACAACAACAAAATCTCAAGAACAATAAGATCAAGGAAATGGGAAGGGATTATGAAAAGGGGATTTTCACATACCTGTGTTAGTGGGAACGGAGCGCCAATTGCCAGGGCCGTGTTCTTGGATGTAGGAGACCAGAATGATATCTTCTTCCGGCGTCCATGGCCCCTTTTTTATGCCCACTTTATCACAGCAAGGAACCCTTCCCATGCCTTTCTTTTTTTTTTTTTTTTTTTTTTT